TCTTACCGATGTGTATAACTGATGCCTCCTTTTTCAGCCTGGGCATAGTAACTCTGATAAATTATTATTTCTGATAGTCTCATAAGAAAATGCGACATATCGCTTGCAGCAAAATGCTACGGAAAAATAGTTTTTTTTCTCGCTTTTTGAAAAACTTTTAATGAAATAATGATATCACATGAATTGGCAGTGAAAAAAGTGGCAGTAACAAATAAGATTGACTAACTCGAAGAAGTAGACATTTAAGGAGAAGATATCAAAAAGAAATACGACAATGAATTTTTTTAATTTGTGAAAATTAGCGTATACTTATTGATCTGAATTATATAACACTGAAATTTTTCTTTTTATAGAAGTATCGTCAACGAATATTGCACGTCAATTGCGCTTAGAAAAAACTGTGAATAACATGAAATCACCGACATATTTTACACCACTACCAATAACGGAAGATGAAATAATTGGCGCTGAAAAAATTCGGTTAGCAATTTTGAAAAATTTCTAAATATTTCAATTAAAATATATTGTTCAAAAAATTTCCTGCTAATTATCATTAACATATCACTTGTATATTTTGATTTATACAAGCATATTTTTCAGTAAAATCAGATTGCTGCATTCTTTTTTTAATTCATTATCTATTCGCTTATATTATTGATTAATATATTTTATTTTGAAATTGTTGTTTACAACAAAGAAGTTTGAAAGGGATAAGAAACGATAGATAAATTATTAGTGAATTTAATTTTTCGTTGTGAATATGACAAATATGTTATGTGCACAGTATCATGTGTACGTGCAGCTATTATCGTTGATATTTCTTCAGATATATGATAAATATCACAAAACGTAATAACAATTAAATATTTCTTCAGGTATAGAATGAATATGAAAAAGAAGAAATCTTAGTTTAGTTGTTTAGAATACTGCAATTTTTATGTGGATCTTTTCCACGTACACGGTAAATATTGTCGTAGACGGTAAAGTAAAATACAGTATATACGTATCATTTATAGGGAAATAGTTAAAGATATTCCGGATTCATTTAATACAACATTTTATTTGGCACGTTGGTGGCGCGCTTATAATGGTGATTTGGATTGTATCAAACGAAATATGAAAGATTTATTTGATCACCGACGAATACTTGCATATGATCGTATCGAAACACATTTGCTACAAACAAAATTAGAATTTTCCAAAAAAACATTTGAAGTACTCGATTATTTTGAGAAAAAAAATTTTTATTCTTTTTTTAATAAAATTTATGATTAAAATAAGATTGTGACAAATACATCATTTTAATTTGTCGTTTTTTTATATTTAAATAAAATTTGAATTTTTCTTAATTTCTTTCAAAATTTTAAATCATCCTTTTCACTTTTATTCTAATTTTGCTATTTGAAAAAAAATGAAATCATATACATATATTCACTTTTTCTTTTATTTATTTTTATCATTCGTTCTCTTTTCATACTTTTCCTTTTTTCTACTTTTTAACATATCTTTATAAATTTTCATTTGCTCATAAATTCATTTTTGATTAATTTTAGCGTTTCTGTATTTCAAAAATAGCATTATATCGAAAGTTGAATAATGTATGTGTGTTCTTTCAACGAATGGTTACAAATGATATCGATGAGGTTTGTATTATTTTCATTTTTTTGACTTCGCATCATTTCCATTTCTTAAAAAGCATTATTCCCATTTTTCGTGTTTCAGTTTTTCAGTTGTTAGCATTACTGTATTCAAGCTGTCATAATTTCCATTTTTAATTTGCTATCATTTTTATTTTTAAATTACCATCATTTACGAATTTTTAAAATTAATTTCGTCTCATCATTTCTATTTTTGAGTTAGCAGTACTTGCATTTTTTAAATTTATATCATTCAAATTTTTGAAATACCATTTATAAAAATTCCAGATAACTAAAGTGGTACCATTCAGTTATGTTCTTCACTCCTATTTTATAATGCAAGAAGCATTTACTCGAGCTCAATTGGAAGCAGAAAAAACAACGGGTAAGCCGGCAGCTATTGTTAGCATTCTTGACCTCTCGGAGATAAATGCGACGGCTTTATTGAATCCGCTAAGTGTCTCCGCGAGATTTGTGCGATTGATTGTGAAAATATGGGCCGATTACTTCATTGAAACAGTAAGAAACTTCGGAATATCATCTACTATTATTGAGAACAATATTTGAAAAAATTCAATAACAAAATTGAATTGTATTTGATCATTTAATTTAATTCAATTCTTTCTAGAAAGAATAAAAATAAGAATCCTATTTTCCAATTGAAAATTTGTTTGTTTCTAGTTTTTTAATTCAAATATAGACAATGTTTATCTAATATAAATTACTCGATTGCTTACTTCTATATGTTGGTAAAAAAAATTAAATTCGAATTCAAATTTAAAATAAATACAAGGCAATTATTGGTTGCAGCAAGCGAAGTTATTTCTTGTAAATTCGCCAGCATTATTGAGCATAATGGGACAAATTGTCAAACTTTTGTTGGATAAAACAACGCAATCACGACTTGAATTTCTTCATCAGCCAACTGATTTAATTAAACATTTAAATCCTTATGTAAGCTATTTCATATTTGAATTCGTAAAATATATTAGAAATAAAATTACAAAATTTCATGATATAAAACAAATTTTTCTCATCAATGGATTAAGTTTGGAACTAACAAATTAGGAATTATCGAATTATTCAATTGATGAGAAAATTAAATTTTACACGAAAATTGCATGTGCAACTTAGATTGGCTGGGATTTGTTTCAAAAATTATCAAAATCTAATAACTGACATAAAATTTGCACCTTAATTTATAATCACTTAAAAAACTTCTCTTAATTTAATTTAATTTGATGTAATTAATTTAACTTGATTTATAACTATTAATTTAAGTTAACGTTACGATGAATACAATTACAATATGCCAAAAACAACTATGAGCTTCCGGAAGAACATCTAAAAACACTAAATATCTATTTTCATCCAAAATTTTCGATATAGATTATGTTTGTCACTCAAAATATTATATTATAGATTATAATTTGAAATAATTTTATCGAATTATTTGAAAATCCAATCGAATTATCTTATATTTTAGCATCATTCACACATGTTGCTCCGGAAAAATAATATTAAAGAATTAATAATCAACTTCCTTTTTTTTTTGGTTTATTTAAATTTTACAAATTGAAAATTTCATTTTTTCATACAGTTAGTACCAGCAATATATGGTGGAGAATGGTATGATGATAGTGGTTATGCGGAAAAACCAGAATTAGTATGTCAAAAACCGATAAAAATCGAACCCGAACATTATTACAATTGTGATTTACTTTGGCAAAAATATGGTTTTCCAAATGTTCCATCAAAATGTTCACAAATTATTAAACGAAAGCAAACATTTGAAGTTAAAAAGTAAGTTTATATTTGAAAGAAGAAGGGGAAAAAAAGAGTAAATTTTTGCCAATAGTTGAATGAAAAGTTTTGTATAAAATGAAATAATTTAATTAAATGGAAATTTTTTCCAACTTTTGTTTTTTTTTTTTTAAAATTTAACACTGAAAAATCTTTTTTTTTTTATTGTTCACTGTATTTATATTTTATATTTTTTTCAGAATTTGCACAAGAGATTCACAAATACTATTATGGCATTTTACAGCAAGTACTGATGTTGAATTTTCGATAGTGAAAAATGAAATGGATAATGAGCAAATAATATGGCCTAAAATAACGCTTACAAGTTTACGAACACCTGAACAAGGTTCAATTATTTGTAAACGTAATGAAAAATATACTTTACGGTTTGTAAATCCGAGTAGATTTTTGGTGCCACTTAAATTACAGTATGCAATAGAATTATGTTCCATTACATAATATAAATAATTAAAAGAAAAGAAAAAATATTCAAATTTAAGTCTTGTTCAATTAATTATTCATGCAATGACTGAAATAACTACTCGTTTACATCGAAGTATTCATATCGTATGGTAAAAGGAAAAAAATGGAAAATGATTTTAATTATTTGCAATAAAATAAGAGATAAATTTAAAAAAAAAAGAGTTAGATGAATTTTGTAAAGTTTGTTACTTTTGCAGAGCTATTAAATAATCTTACTACTTCATTTATTCGCTTATTATAATTAAACAAGAAAAAATACTCAATTTCTTAAAAAATCATCATGAAAGTTCTGCTTCTTTTTGTTTGAGCATTATTTATAAAAGTGTCTCCATATTACTTATCATAAAGTATTTATCCATCATTAATCAATTGTTATTTGTATTAGAAGTTTTGTACCATTACCACCATTATGACAAAAGATATATCTAATAAAAATTTATTGTAATTATTTGTTGAATATTGAGAAAATGTGCTTGGAATAAAATTCACAACAAAATTCTGCAAAATTTCTCAACTTTTAGCCAAGCATTCAAATGATGAAGCTGCAAAAAAAATTCATAAAATTAAAAAAGGGAAAATTTTTCAGTCCAATAAAAAAATGAAGCTCGCAAATCTTTTCACTTCAAAGTTCCAATTTCGATCTTCGAAAGGCGGCATGAGAGGAAAAAAGGATATTAACGTGCGAAGAAAAGCCTTTTAGAAAATTCTTGTTTTTAATAGCATCCCTTTCAGATCGCATATTCTTTTTGAATATACTTTAATATACTTTTTTAAAATTCTAATTGCATATCTTAACGATTCATAGGCGAATTTTTAGAAATTTTTGCAATTTTAAACAAATCCATGTAAGAATTTTATACAAATTTACTAAAAAGCAACTTATTCAAAGGTAAATGGAATAAATCAGCTAAGAAGCAAAAAACTTAACCAGGAATGGAAAATGTTATCAAATTACTGATGCTCAACCTATAAAAGAATTTAAACACTTGATTTCATGATTTTATCAACAAATGGTACATGTAGTAAATATACTTTGAAATACCTAAAATAGAACAAAGTATTAAGAAAGTTTCAAATTGTCAAAATATAGAATGCGCTTATCAAAATTTACTATACATAGTGATCGAACTGGGAACGACAACTGAAAAATGGGAAAGAAAAGAAGAAAGAAACCTGCACTAAAAAAAAGAAACCTGCATTTTATTCCAAACAATTCTCATTAAAAACAAGACTGAAAAAACCGGAAGTTGTGAAAAAAAACGGCAGCGCTATTCAATCATCACAGTATGTTGCTACTTCATTTTCATTTTCATGGTTCACTGATTTATTGATACCATATCGTTTATCCTGTTTTTTGGTTTTGCGACGAAGATATTTTTCCAATCTTTTTCCTCCTTTCAGTTCATCATACTTTTTACGCCATATGAGTTCCCGAATTTGTGCTTCAAATATCAAAATAAATATTAGATCAAATGCATTTGTTGGCAAATATCTTTTCTTTTTTAAAATTAACTTCAAAACAAAAAGTAATTGTCTAAATCACAAAAATTTCTCAAAAAAATGCAAAGAAAGCAAAATGGTTAAATCGGCTGATTACAAAATTTAAGAAGCCAACGTTTTTATCATAAATAAAGAATAGATATATCCTCAAAGGGGCATGTGAATCGAGTGAATCGAGAGACGTTTATCATTGGAAAGTTTTGTTTGATGTACAAACCTCTTGTCTTAAAGATCGGTGATAAGCCTTGACGCATGCGCTCATTGTTCTCATGACGTATTTCACGGATTACTTCTTTACGACGGTTAACATCTGCTTGTGTTCTGCAACAGAAATAATAATCAGTTAATAACAACAAATATTCATCAATATATAAAATTTTAATTCATTTCTCACAGATTAAAATTATTAGTGGTAATTGAAATTCGGATGAAAAATTGAAATTGTAATAATTCCTACTACGAATTCGTTTTTTTTACCAACAATGTTGATCAGCTGATCAACATTGTTGGTAAAAAACTCAGTTTATAAGATCGCCAAAATTTCTGAAATAAATTTGTGTAAAATTACTTTTCCTGATTTTTCATTTTCCTGAGTGCTTCTTTTAATCGGGTTCTGTTAACAGCTCCTTCTTCTGTCGCATTTTTCAGTTCTCTTATCAATATCTAAAAAAATCTAACATTAGATAAAAGTTCAAAGATATATACTTGAACCTAAAATACCTGGATATTTAACTAAAATACCAAAAAAGCAAACTTCTACTATTAATGCAAAACTAAAATGAACTATAAGTTATTTTATAACAACAAATGAACAGAAATAATTGTTTCATACATTAAAATAACATGTAAAGGAATACCTTTTTCTCTCGCTGACGTATTTCATTTAGAAAACTATAATTATTCTGGTATATATAATTATTAAACTCTCCACATCTGTCATCGAATCGAGGATCAAATCTAAAACAAAATTATGAACAAAATAACAACTTTGAATTAATGTAACCTGAACGTTGAATTTCAAACCATCTGAAACCAAAATGAACACTTTCCATGTATTCTTTTTTTTAGCAGCACCGTAATAAAATCCAAAATGAATCTTAACAGTGCAACGTTTTCATCAAAAAAATAGTTGATACCAATGATCGCGAATTTTGATGTACTTAATTCAAATATAATCGCTTAATATTTGAAGAAAGAGAAAATATGCAACAAATTTATTAAATCAAAAAAAAAAAAAAATTTTAGGCAGATACAGAATTGGATGTCACTTACACGGGTCGTTTCAATTTTTCATTCTCGAACGCGTTCCTGAATTTAGATACCGGTATTTTTGATGACACTTCACGTGGTCTTTTTGGATTTTCACGCTACAAATGAAATGACTATAAATGAACAAAAATAAAATGATCAGGAAAAAAATTATTATTCAAGACATCTTCATGGACATGATAGAATTATCAAGTTACTTCGAGGTTAAAAGAGAGTTACACATTTGATCTATCTGTAACCGGTTCTGATCATCATATCCTACAGAAAATTATATTCTGCTATGATGGAGACATATTCTCAATGAGAACTATTTTGCAAATCAATCAAGAGGTTTTTAAGAAAATTTAAAATAAATAACCACAAAAGTCCTTTGAGATGATTTCCTGTTAGAATTAGATGATGAATTTTCAACGAAGAATGCCTTGTCAAACAACTTCGTTCCTAATCGTTCCTGCAGCTGTTTTGCTTTGCCTAATGGAATCTTTGCTATTTCTGAAATGTGAAAAACATATTATTAGTTTAGCATTTTCAGAAATACGAAAAGTTGACAATGTTGAACATTTAAGTAATAAAATAATCTCGAAATTCAGGTAACAAAATAATTTTATGATTATAAAAATAACTACACATATACAATTTGGAAACCTTCTTAAAAGAATAAATACCTTTGCGAAATCCTGTACTCTCTAAATTTGCATCATCATTCTCCTGAATTGGAGAAGTCATTACTCTGTGAGAAGACTTCCTGGATACTCTAGGTTCCACTTTTTTCTCGTCTAAACAATGCTTGTCAGAATTTTGTGCTGTGATACTGAAAAATAGAACGCACTAGAAAATAAATATTTGTATAAAATCTACGGAACAATTGCGTCTAATGTTCTAATGGGACTTTCTTTTCTTGATAATATCATCCATCAAATTTCTTTCATGCTCAGATTAAAAATAATGAATCCATTCTCCCACTACTTTATTACAGACTGAAATTACGATGTCATCCGAATTTCTCCAATTCATCTCTATACTCACGTGCACAATATCATTGAAAAAATTCTGACACAGTACTTCAGGAAAAATTTAATTTTAATTACAGCAAATAGGATCAAATCTCTGTGAAACATGTAAAGAAAACTTGTTTAATTCAGTTACACTGAATGTTTTTTTTTTTTTCATCATTGTTTTTTTCATCATTTAATGTTTTTTTTTTAAACATTTAATGTTTTTGTAATCGTTGATGAAAATTGTTTTCATCATTTAATATTCTGAATTAGATTGTATCACTGAACGATTACAACACGAAGATATGACCAACTTTGCGAAAGCGAATTTGTCATCTTTCGTCTTCATTACAGATCTTCGAACATTACTGGGATTGTTGCTCTTTTCCTCATCGGATATGCTTGATAGCCATTTTTTTCGACCATATGAACGATTTCCTCCGAAAAATTCCCTTCTATCGATAGTTCTAAATAGCAAGATTTACATTTTCAAGACTAATTTCAAGATGATATTGATATTCCCATGGTGTGGTGTAACGAGGTTTTCTGGAAAATATCGTGCATCTTCCATCCATCTAGTGAAGTTTGCATAAAAACGTTTCACTTCGAGAATTCACCAATAACATTTCAAATGAAGTACTTCAAGATTCAATGTATGATGTAACATAACATAAACTACGATTTTGTAATTGATTTACCACATATAATCGTTTAATTACTTATTTTATCAATTCCAGTTCTAGAATAGAAGCTAACGATAACTCTGAAACCTGCTTCAAATTAACATTATTCGTTGTCTCTAAAATGAGAACATTTAATTTCCACTTAAGATGCGACTAATTATCCTTGAAATGAGGCTTACTGATCATCGTCAGAAATACACGTAATAGCTTCATTATTTTTTGCCGAAGCGTAAGTAAAGTCACATTTCCCAACAAGTAATGAATCCTCGGACTGTTTTGCTGCATTTTTCTCGATAGGAATTGCCTGCTTTTTCCCTTTTTTTGTCTTCTTATTCCTGCATAATTTAGCATATAACATTATAATTAAAATGAGTTTCTTCTATAACTAATATAAAATGGCTTAGAAAATACCATGGAAGTTTAATGAATTATAATTATTTTACTTTGATTTTCTCAATCAGAACACAGAGTTAAATTATTGGGTAGGTTTGAAATTTAAAAAAAAAAAATAATAAAAAAAGAAGAAAAAGTGCATCTCGAATGAAACCTATGCTCAGGAAATATCATTCGATCACGGCCAAGTAACAGTATGTGATAAAATTTTATCTTAAATGTACTGAAGAAATCACTCGTAGTGTTTTTTATAATTAAGTCCAAAACCTTAATTTGTTAAAAAAAATTTTGTTAAAAAACAGGAAAAAAGATTAGTTGAAAAAAAAATTACCTTCAGTTCATCACTGATTGTTTAAGAGCCTAACTGATAAATTAAGCTTTGCAAATTTTTTTAAAGTAAACTTTACAATTGATTGCTGTTAACCTAAATTAAGTATCCAATGTTATCTTAGTAAATTTATGATTATATTGTTTTTTGTAACATCTCACACGATAGATTTAGTAAAGTTCAAATATGTCACAGCAAATTTGAATTTGCTCAAAAAAGATTAAAAGGATAAAAAAAAAAGATCAAACTTAAATTGCATCAATTTCACTCGTATAATTTGTAAACTGTAAATATACAGTTGTTTAAGTGTTATTTAAGTGCTATTTTTTAAGTGCATAAGTGCTATTTTATCAGTTTCATTCTGTTATAAATTATCTAATTTATTAAAAAATAAGCCATCCAATCAATAAATAATTCCAATAATTACTTAGGCCGTCCTTTTAATTTCACTTCAATTTCATCGTTATTGCAATTGTTGTTATCACTCCCATTGAAGATGGACTGAACATAGTTTTTCTGATAACCGCTTCTTTTTCTTCCATTTTTTGGTTTCGAATTATTATTGATTACTGTTTTCTTTGGAAATGTTCGTTGCATTCTCAAAATTTCCTCTTCCATTTGTTTTAACTTTTTTTTTCTTCCTAAAGAAAAACATAACAAAGACAGACTACACTTGTAATTAACAACTTGAATACCACATATGCAAATATGGGAGGTAAAAAAAAAAATAAAAATCCTAATATTGTTAACAAATAAAAAATATTGGCATCTTTTCATTAATTTTTTAGAATATTCTTAAGCTATAAATCACACGAGACAGATAAGTTAACAATATCCCTTTATAAAGTCATTGCAAAACTTATGAAAAAACTTTCATGCAAATTTAATAAGAAATACTTATCTAACATTTTTATGGACTAAAAGCAAATTCACCTCGAAGAAAAACCTTCGCCTATTCAACACAACAATTTTAGATTCAAATTACTTAGTGATTCTTTGAAATCCTAAAAAAAATTGTGAAAAGATACCAAAACAACCCTTTTCCAGGCAAAAAAAAATATTTAAAATGTGGAAGCTGTATTTTAAAAGGAATATCTTAAGGGCTCACAATAAGGCTGACTTATATTTCCTACAATATAATTTGCAATTAAGTTATCGTGTTTGTTTTGCAGAGTAAATATGAATTGTCTATGATAACTGATAGCACAGAAAAATTAAATTATCCCACTTGTTTGAAATATTAGATAAATTAGTGAAAAAACACCATGGGACGATCCTTTTCTGAGGAATAATTCATGACTATTATAACTACTAAAAAAACGAAAAATTTTCAAAACAAAAAAGGAAAATGATTGAGCTGAAATGGACTATCAAAATGAAAGATGCAACAAATATTGTATTAAACCATACAGTTTTATTTACAATTTCTATTTACAGAAATTAAAAAAAAATCGAAATTGGTAGTTATATGATTAGATTTCATTTCTGATGAAAAGACTGAATCATTTAGCACTGCATAAAGCAAAAGAAAAAAACGATTGTACATAAACTTATAACTATACACTGCTAATGAAAATAAGCTTAGACATATAAAATCGGATATACAAAATGCGATACTGTGATGAAAAATGCAAAACTAAGCTTTAAAAATTTATACAATTACAATTAATAATAATGACTTTGCAATTTTTTCCCAATTTTATTTACATTCAATCAAAAATTTTTGATTATTATTAAAATAAAATTATTAGCGAAAGCTGGAAATTACGGTATATATCGCACCTTAATTTAAATCAATGCTAAAGTTTTATTTAAACAAGAATAACATTTCTTGTACAGTATTATCTTTTTTTTTTTTTTGTAAATGAATTCACCGAGATGATATAAGAGTGAAAAAAAAATGCACACCAAGTACTTAGTTTTTACAAAATCTAATGCAATTTCATATAATAGGTTTATGTAATGGCACATCGAATATTTTTGTATATCCGTTGCGATATATTGGCAACACGCGGTTTTGATCAAATAAAATGGATAAGATAATTAAATTGTTGCAACATCAAAAATGAAATGTGAAAACATAATTGTCGAAGCACAATAAAAACTACTGATAAGAAAAAAAACACAAAAACACATACATAAAAAAGCATTAGCACATAATAACTTTCTTATACAGTGAGCAAGTAGCGATTAAAACAAACGTACAACCCGTTGGAAAAATTTCCGATCTTCGACTTCAAATTTATTTCATTTTTAAGAAGGCTTGAATAGCCTATTGCTCATGAATATATATATACGTCGCAAAATACTACCAAATTCTAACGTCACGTACTCTTCACATGTTCGAAATAAGTCATATAATTTTGAAATAACAAAGCGTTATCTTGAAAAATTTTGTTATGACTCCGAAAAACTTTCAAAACCACCACTTCTGTAATGGTTAGGAAATCCCAGAAACAATTTATCAAAAGAAATTTCTCCATAGTGGTAATAAAGATATCCATTTAATAGTCGGGTAGTGTAGAAAAACGTAGCAAGGAAAAATAATTATTGAAATATTATAAAACGAATGAAAAAAAGATAATGCAGCATTTGTTTCAAACATCCAAAATATGATATGACAGGCCTGGAGGTGGTGGTTCATTTCCAGCAAGTTCCTGCTGTAGCTGCTCATCTTCACTTCGAGGCGAAAGTGAAGCTTGGATAGGTGAAATCGTACTTTGCGCTGGTACGCCCCAAACATTGCCCGTTGCTTCCGTTGTTGTATCAGCTGAACTTTGTACTACGGTTCCACTTGTTATTGGTGATACGTTTGTGGAAATCGGAGTAACCTGCGTTATATTCTGACGTGCCATGGCTGTCGAAGAGGATAACATTTCAGAGCGATGATTATCGCAATGAGCACGTAAATTACGTAAATATGCAATACTCAAGGCTGCTGTTTGTGAAGTAAGAATCGTGTCAGCCAGATGACTTTTTTCTGCAAAAGGACATGTATTTTATTTGATCTGTGATCTATTTTAATACTCGAAGAAGAAAGTGATCGACGAAGCCAATATCCTATAATTCGCATCTTTCACTGTAACATTTTTTTTCGCATCTTTCACTTCTAGTCAAATCTTAAAAAATACTAACTATTAATCATTGCACAAATACACACGTACAATCACCACCGTTTTACTGCCTCTGACAATTAAAATTTGTCTAATCAATGATTTAAAAAAAAATCACATTAAAACTTACTTTCACCATGTAAAGACATATTCGCTGCTGCAGCAAGCAAATCAGGATCATGCAAAGATGCAATAAATGGCTGTCGTCCTACAAATTTTCTAAGCTGCTGCTCAGCAATGGGATGGAAAAAATGTAAACTATTCAGCAGTATGTTATCATCCACGACACCTTCTTTTAATGTATTCATGTCTTGTGCCATCTGAAATTTTACACGAAAACTTTTGTTCTGCTCCTTTATTACTAAGAATCGATTTCAGAATATATCCAAAACTGAAAACATAAACATACACGATCTTTTATACTGTCAAGGAAACGAGCAGCACGAGGTGGTGGTTTCCATTCTGGATGATGGCTAGCAAAATGCACTAACGAAAGCTCCGTTTTTCCATCATTAGCGTGAACTCTTGCATGTATATTTGCAACTTCTGGAAGCAAAAAAAATTGTTGTTAAGCGACATCGAAAGGAACATATATGAGCAAAGCTAAATGTTCAACATTTTTTATCATTTGAAAATATCAATTCTAGTAAATTAAAAAACACACAGATAAGAATTGATAACAAGTGCTTGAAATTAATAATGATAGAGGTTTAAAATATGAATTTCACCTTCCTTGGTAAGCTCATCAAAGCTCCAATTGGGATCTCCATGCTGTTTGATATCCATCTGAGCAAACGAGCAAACATCACCAAGACCTTCTACGGTAACCGTAAAATTGTGGAAAAAATCCACAAGCTCTTTCGCTTTCGGACGAATCCTGGAAAGGATAACTTCTACTACAGAGATAAAAAGAACTTTGCTGATTTTAAAAAAATGAAATATAGAAGCGAAAAGATATATGAAAAATGAACTGCTGCAAAATTCTTTCTTTCATCTTGAAATTTTTGAAAAGTGATTCTTTCATGCTTCTCCTCCCTTATCACAATATAGCTTTTATTGAAAACTTACCAAAAAAGTAGAATAAATGGAGTTAAAATTGGACTCAGAAGTTCTTCAAGTAAAAATTTCGTTTTCAGCTCAAATAAATGTCCAAATTCTTTTCGCACCGTATCTGAAATAGACGTCCATTTTTTTAGTTTTAGAGTTTCAACAAATTTTTATCTTTGTAGAACATCTGAAACGTTTTTATCAAACTGAAGATTCTAATTAAATAACATAAAATCTTCAGAAAATAGGAAAGTAAGAACTCCGAAAGATAATTATCTCTTAACATCAGTGAAACCAAAAGGTAAAGTCATTTCTTAAATGAACCAGCCTGGACAAACTATAACTTATCACAAAATCTATCTTTACAAATGCAAAAAAAAAAAATCAAAAAAAGCTTTTGCAAAATCGAAATTACTTATTGTGGAATGTCATGAATCTGATAAGATCCATGACATTCCACAATAAGATTCATTCAACAGCTTAAAAAATACATCAACTATGAATTTTTCCTTATATTATCATTAGCCTATTTTCACATGCACCAGCAGAGTTATCTAGGGTGTGGAAATTATAACAAGAAATAGAACTATCAAGGTTTCTAAATTATGATCAAGCATCTTTTACAACACTTTTTCAGTGCAATATAAGATTTTATAATGAAAAAATTTAACTGGGAAAACAATGCTACCTGTATGGGCTTTCCCCTTCCATGAATCTGGTGCATAATGTATGTGTGCGATTACCATATCTAGCAATGTTTCAGGCCAATAAATCATATTCTCATCTCCAATAAATGATTGGCATGCGACAGCAACCAACCCACATACAGATATGATCGTGAGAACGTGTTCAACCTATAAACGTGTTCCGCAAGACACCATTTATTTTACCGTGTTACTTTTTTCCTTATTTATAAGTTTGAAATTTGTACGGTACCACTTTCGTGGTTAGCTATATCTTGTAGCTTCTTGAATCACAACGTATACAACTTAGAACATACGATCTTTGTCTGTCTAAGATTAAACTTCCGATTTCTTTTCTGCCAATATAACTCTTTTTATGCCACTTTTTATCTTGAAACACATTTAAACCTCCACTTAAAAATCTGAGTTACTAATCTTTTTTTAAAGGAGTAAATGAGACATCAACAAGAGAAGGACCACTATTCCTAAATAAAAAGAACTAACCGATAATACGTCTTCATCCCATAGACCTAGCAACAGCAACACTATGCAAATTGCACCTGCGACAAATTGAACTTTTCTAGCGATAACTTGTCCCAAGGGTGAAAGAAACTGCTCCATATACTGCGTTGCCGCTCGATGACTTTTTGAAAGACGCATTCGTAATTCATGATCTAATTCGTTGAAATGTCTCAGCTTATTCCTGCAATTCACAAATTATAAATTACACATTCTTCAAACCATAAAGATTAACATTAACATAAGTATGAGAAATTTTCCATTAATTAAATTAGAAATTAACAGTGCAGAAAATTACCTTCCAAAGTTTGAATATCTGCGCATAGCAAAGGAACCCGGATCTCGTTTTAACAGCTCACCATAAGTAAAGAAGAAATATAGTACTTGGTAAACAAATACAAGTGGAAAAAAAATAAAATTGCCAACAGCCATTTTCAATATTGCCGAATCTAACTCATCTGCTGCAAAGTTTTGGCCGTATTACCAGCAATGCTGGGTATTACGAAATACTTGCTCCACATTCAACATTTCAGATTGCATTTGAATTTCACCTTTTCACAAAATAAAATTCCGAATTCTTGTTGGTGATCTTTTTAAAACAACAAAAGGAATTTCAATTACAACCGAGTCTACAACAAAGAATGAATTCGTAACACTGAATTTCCTAAAAAAAATTAAGACAAAGAAAGGGAGCTTTTTGACATTTCAAATTTAAATTATTGAGTATTTCGTTCATTATTATGTCTAATAATCTTACCAAGCCTGAAAACATTCTGCGGATGTTTGTATTCTTCCTTAAGCTCATACGGTCCCTTCCACGGCGACCACATTCCATAAAACAACAGCCATTCCAAATTCATTTTCAAACCATTTGGTAAATATGGCATTGAACCAATGAAAGGCACATTGATTATCGGTGGCAGTATTTCCTTGTTCACAAGGGCGACAAAATAATTCTGAAATTTAAAAATAGAAAAAATATTGCGATTATTACATAGCTACCTTATTGTTTATCATAGAATCACTCAACCAGTACTTTTGTAAACGATCCATTGACATAAGAAGGAAAATAGGAAAAGGATAAAAATTTGTTACCTTATGTCTCAAAATACGTTGATAAAGATCCAAAGCAGTAATTCCATCCTTATTTAAAATCAAATGTATAGATGGCTGTTTCTCGCATATAAGCTGTACAATTTCTTGCCATTTAAGATCTCTCAATAATGCATCCTCAATTCCTTTAAAATCATTAATGAATATTTTTTTCCATCTAATAAAACAAGGAAAATCAAAAAAAAAAGTATATTAGTGAAGTAGTTGAGGATGTTATCATGTAAGAAATAGTATACAACACAGAACTTCAAAAAGATAAATATATATTTGTAAGTAATTCATCACTCATGAAACCTATTAATCGAAATGAAATTTCTGCAAATTGAGTGAACACATTTTGATTCCCTGCAGTCAAAAATTATGAGAAAAACTTTTAGAAAATAAATAAATCTTACCCAATGCCGAATGATAAAAAGTACGTATTTCACCAAACTGATAAATTTGATAAAAAACCCGTGCAGCTCGGAAAATCCAAAAGAAAAAGGCAAAAACCAGCAAGCATAACGTGAAACCGTCTATGTGACTCCAATCCGGATATATGATATCCTAGTTGCAAAAGAAACAATAAAAACTTTCAATAAACATTACAGTTCTTCCGCAAGTACCAGTAAACTCATCCATGGTAAACAGAGAAAGCTAATCTTTTCCGTCAGCTATCAAATCCCAAATAAGCAAAATCTCATTTAAAACATTCAACGTAATTAAATTCATCATCAAACTCTTTTCTCAAAATCATTTGTTCAACATTCTTTTAAGAAATGAGAGAAGCCTTTTCTAACACTTTATTGTATTCTTAACCTAAAAAAGTTATTGGACCAAAAACGATATGCAGAATTAGTGGAAGAGGAATCCACAGAGAACAAAAAGATCGAAAGATAACAAGATAAATCACACAATCTTATTTTTCTTACAAAACTACCCTCAAAAACTAAGTATGGAAAAAAAGAAAAAGACTTACTTCAAGTCGAATTTTTCCACCAATTGGCTTTCCCCCTGCGGAGATATTTTTATTCTTGAACAAAACGTCGTAATCTACGCATGTTTGTAAGAATGTAACAAACCAAACAACAAATATGAATTGAAGTAAAGTAAGGATGTGCTTAATGACTATGCAAAGATATCCGCCATTTTGATGATACTCGTAAACTCGAGTAAAGAACTGCAAAAAACCGTCTTAAAATTAATCATTCCATTATACTTCTTCCTTACAAATAACATTCGTAAATATCTGAAAGCATAAATTTTTATTT